AGGTTTAGGTTGGATATTAGGAAAAACTTCTTCACCGAAAGGGCTGTCAGGCCCCGGCCCAGGCTGCCCAGGGCAGGGGCTGAGTCACCATCCCTGGAGGTATTTAAAGGACGGGTAGATGTGGTGCTTAGGGACATGGTTTAGTGGTGGCCTTGGCAGTGCTGAGTTAACGGTTGGACTCGATGATCTTAAAGGTCCTTTCCAACCTAAATGATTCTGTGATTCTAATCCATGACAACTGGGAAGAGTCAGGCTATCTTAATTGCAGCATGGGCTGTTAACTAGTACTGAGCATTGAGACAGAGAAAAGCTACAAGGCACAGCATCCAAAGCCTGCGGTTCCCCGATGCTGTGTCACATCTGTCAGGCTGATTTCAGGGAGCTTATTCTAGACCTCATCCCCTATCCTCTTGTCCCCATGGTGCAGGCTATCTTAATTGCAGCATGGGCTGTTAACTAGTACTGAGCATTGAGACAGAGAAAAGCTACAAGGCACAGCATCCAAAGCCTGCGGTTCCCCGATGCTGTGTCACATCTGTCAGGCTGATTTCAGGGAGCTTATTCTAGACCTCATCCCCTATCCTCTTGTCCCCATGGTCTGTGAAGGGAGCCTGTGGTTTGGCAGCCTGAATCTCTCATCTTAAATCTGGTGTGCCACAGGTAGTGATGACTGTTAGATGCTCGTCGGAGGCAGTTTGAGTGTGGAGGGGAAATTCTGAGGCTTGACAGTGCGTGGCTGGTCCAGAGAAGCTGGAAATTGCTGGTTGGGGCACATACAGTCTTTTTTTAATGCTTTCCTTTTCCTTTGGCTTGCCCTGGTAATTAACTCTTGCCGCATGTCATCAAACTCTCTTCTCCTGCCCGACAGAGGGTATTCAGAGCTCCATTTCCATGGTGACGCGCAGGATGTTGTGTGTCTGCACAGACAGGTGTTGTCTCCACTTGCTTGTGGCTGCTGCCTTAAAGGGGATTGGCACCAAACCTCTTTTTTTCAGGAGTTTTAGGTGGTGCTCCCTGATCTCTTTGGTCCTCACGCCATAGATGATAGGGTTGATGCCACATGGCAGTAGCAGATATGTCACACTGATCAGGTTGTGCACGTCCTCAGAGATGAACTTCCCCATGCAACAGACTATTGAGGAAGACAAGTAAGTGACCACCATGAGCATGAGGTGAGTAGCACGTGTGTGGCAAGCTTTGTGCTGCACTTTCCCAGAAGCAATTTTCAGGGTTGTATGGATAATCCTGCAGTAGGATGTCAGGAGGAAGCCTAAATCGAAGACAATTGTGATGGCTCTCGTGGCCAGTCCTACCATCTTGTTCCTGGAGGTTTCCCCACAGGACAGGCTCACCAGGGTCATCTCCTCACAAAGTGCTTGACAACTTCAGAGTGGCACAAGTGCCCCTTGGATGCCAGGATCACCACAGGACTGATGAAAGAGATGTTCCTCACCACTGCAGCCAGGGATAACCAGGCCAGGTATTTTCTGGTCAGTATGCCTGTGTAGTGCACTGGGTTGCAAATGGCCACATACCTGTGGCCATGAGAAGGAGGGTGTTGCAATCCAACGTGATGAAGACGTATGGGAAGAAGATCTGGGCCACGCAGCCCCCAGTGAGATGTGGCTGAGATGAAAGAGGAAACCCAGCAGCATCTTGGGCACAAATGCGCTGGAGCTGCAGGGATCACCAGGAGCAGAGCGACCAGTGAGTATATAGGGGAATGGAGGTCTTCCTCCACTTCCATGGTGTAGGTGAGAATGGAGTTTGCCATGATGATCAGAAGGTACAGGAAGAAAAAAGGGATGAGGAGGAGCAGTTTGTGCTTGTGGACCCCAAGGAATTCAGCCAGGGATGTGCTGGCTGACCCTGCCTGGTTCCCGCCTGCATCCCAGAGTGTCAGCCTGCTGGAAGGGCTCAGCTTTCCTGCACCTGAAAGGAGAAAGCAGTTTCTCCTGCTGCAGCTGCAAATCTCTTCTCCCTACGATAAAATGTTTTTTAAACTGGATAGACCCATGAAAACTGTGAACTACAAGCAGTGAAAACAGTAGAAGAACTGATGGCTGGTGAGGGGCTGTGCTCACACAGCAAGTGTAGCACTAACCCCCACGGCCTGTATTGTCTCTTCAGTTACTTTAGTAAGTGAAAGGCAGCAAAAGGCTTGAAAAAATGAGCCAAAACTGTGATTATTTTTATTAAAGAAGCATCTGCACACTCCAGGGCTCACTGAATGAGCTCCCTTTGTTTATTTTGGGCAGGGCACAGCAACACTGGACAGGTGAAATGCCGCTGAGATGTGGGTAGCACCGAGGACAAGCAATGCACATGCATGCAAGGCACAGTCCTCGATGCCGGTGCTGTTTGGTGGTCCTCTGAAAAGGACAGGTCCTCGCAGATGAGACCCAGACCACACTCCTTCTTGCACGTGTGCTGATCCAGAGGCAGCATTAGTTTCAGATTGGGTCCAAGATACAAACACCTCATTTTTTTTCCACTCGTGAACTGATGGCTGGTGCTCAGAGAACCCTGTTTGCATCTTCCTTCCCACTACCATGGTCTAGGGTTGAAGAGAAGTGCCCTGGCTTCTGTCCCTTAAGGTTTCCTATAGGCTCAGCTCCCGATGCTTTGCCTTCAGATGCCATGACTCAGGCACACGTTTTGTTCAGGGTGAGGAAGCAAGCCTGCTGCTACAGTAGTGCAAAAGGAAATATTCATAGCATGTTTTTGGCTTTGATAGAGCTAGGATGCTTTGGGAATCTTGATCAGTTTATGGAGGGGATTATCTGCCAGGCTGAGAGCTGAGACCTGAGCCCTGACACAGCCAGTCCTCTGTGTCCTGTGCTCTCAGGAGTTATCAGTATACAATGCATATTGTATACTGGTATACAATTTACAGTATTGTATACTGGTATACATATTGTATACCAGTATACACATGCATATTGTCCAGGGAGCCCTGGGGGAGGACACAGTGTGGAGCACACCCTTCTCCCTCCATCTCTCCTGTCTTCCCCTTGTTTGTGTAGCGGCGAGCTCTATCCCTGCAAACCCCCCTCCATCAGGGCTGGTGGATGGGGATGCTGTTAGTGCGTGGAGGGATCCAGGGAGGGTGCTGGACTGGGGAGCCATTGCTGTGAGATGTGTGTTTCTGTCTGCTCTGAAAGGACAGAAGTCTGTCTGAGCGTTGGCAAAGAATCACTAAGCACAATTATCAACACAAGCTGTTTTAGAGCAAGGAGATGGCGATTAAATTGGGGTTGACTGAAGCATCCCAGCTTCTGTGTATTTGTCTTAGCAAATCTCTTCCACTCTGCTGTTTGCTTGATAAAAATATAAATCCCTGTTTTCCTACTGTAGGCTGAGCTCCAGTCCTGCCCCAGCGCTGGCGAAAGTCTCCTCTCCGAGAAGAGACCGGAGCAGGAGCGGTGTCTGGGCACGCTCCACCCCGGGATTCCTGCAGGACGGCAGCGTGGGAGCCCGAGCCTCCTTTCAGTAAGACTTACGGCTTTCAGTAAGGCTCGTGGGTCACCGTATCCAGCATCGTGGCATATAACCCCCAACCGCAGCGCTCCCAATGCCTTCCAGAGACCAGTTTGGTTGTTTTCCCCTTCTACTCAGCTGCTCCTGCATCTCATTGCTCCGATAGCGAGCTGCAGCCCTCTTTCAGCCTAACAGTCTGCTTGGTTTGTAGCTTGCTGTCCTGGGTTTGACAGCAGCTTTTCTTTTCCATTGCTTGTCTGCTTCCCGCAGCAGCACCAGCCGAGCAGCCTGACCCTCTCCCGCTCTCCTTTGGCCAGAGCAAACCGAAAAGGAAAGGGCTCCGTGCTCATGCCCAGCGTGGCTAGAACAGGGGTACGGAGGAGGGAATTTCTCCTCGGGGGTGTCCCGTAGTGCAGGGTCACTTGGTGGTGTGGCAGAGGATTTCCTCCTGCGTGGAAAGGCCAGGACCGAGGCACAGCAGCAGTGAGCATCCCCAGACCACAACTGGGAACAAGCCATTTCATCCCCGGCTCTGGAAGCAAAGCTGTTTATCACAGTTATGTGCTTGGGGGTGTCTGTGAGAGCCAGGTGTCCCGGGGGAGCCCACTTTTTAAGACATGACTCAGGCGGCATTGGTCCCTTGAGCTCGGCAGGGAAACGTGCTCCGAGTCTCTGTGCAGCTTCCCCGCAGCCTTGACCCAGAAAGGCTCATTTTAAACACGTGCTCAGGGCTGTGGACTTCAGTGAACTGACTCATCAACAGTGTGTACCCACCAAAACACCTGACAGGAGAGGGATGTCATGGTGACTTCCCTTGGGAGAGGAGCAAGGAGGTGTCCCAGGGCCGGGGAGTCCGACACGGGCATGGGCACCGCCATCTGAAACGGGAGGTGATGGTGCAGACTGGGAGCTGCTTGAGGGATACCCTCAAGGGCCACAACCCTGCACCACCAAGGGTACTGGGACAAAAAGCCATCCCTGGCAAAAATATGCAGAAAAGGTGAAGGAGGAGAAAATATACGGAGGAGGAGATGATGAATGCGCACACCAAAAGAGCAGGGCAGAGGCAAGGGGAGAGGAGAAATGATGGGCAATGAGAAAGGCAGCTCCAGGATTTATGATTTAGACCCAAACCCAGCTCCCTCAGGGCACCCCAAATCCCTGCCAGCCTGGGACCTCTGCTCGCACACGGACACATCCCAGAGCCCTGGGGTGCACCCCATAAACAGGGAAGGAGCAGTTAATCGGGGACTCTGCCAACACACAGCCAGAGGCTAAAGATAGAGTTCGTGCCCGTCAGCTCGGTTTCACAGGAGGCAGGTTTCTGGCAAGGAAACTGGCTTTTTTTTCCTGCAGGATTATATGTTCCTCTGCTGAAGTGCGTGGGCTTTGCCACAGGTGGATTTCTCCATGGTTTCTGACAGTGCTGCAAGAGCTATAAACCTTGCTCTGTGAGTGATGGTGCAGGGAGCATCAGAGGATGCAGTGGCTCATGAGTCACTTGCGGTGCTCAAGGCAGTGTTATTAATTAGGAGGCCTCGAAGCTTTTCACAGCAAGGACTTCCTGCAATTGCTTCTTCCTCCACTTCTATTAAAGATTTTGTTAGCAATCTGGATGTCAGTATGAGGTCTGGAAACTTCCCTCCTCCGGGTCCCCTGTGATAAATCCCCGTCCTCCCAGCCTTGGGCTGTCAGCAGGTTTCATTAGCCCCTGCAGTCTGTGGTAAGGTCCTTATCGATGTCAAATGAGGCCCGGTTGCCCACTCCTGAGCCTGCTGGCGCTGGTATATTCCTTGTCAGTGCTGCCTGATACTGTCTGTCCTGGTCCTTGCTCCTCTGCCAGTTCCTCAGCCGTCTCCACCTCCTCCTGCTGAGCTGTCCTGGGGGCACCCGCTGCTTTACTGGGGTCGGTGCTGGCCCGTTCCCATGGCCAGGGGTTATCAGAGTCAGCTGGTCTGACACCCCCCTCCCCTTTGGGTCGACCCTTGATGTGTTTTACCCCATTTCCACTCAAGTCTAGTTATTCTTCTCTTCAAGCCAGCCCTCATTTACTGGATGAGTCACAGAGGAGCACAACTTGGGCAAAAATCAAATCATGGTTTGGCATGGGAATTATAAGCGCCCCCCCACCATCTGTTACACAATAGAGGATAGTTAGGGAGTATGACTGCTAATTGTGACATTAATAAGATTAGGGAAAAAAAACCAAAGTCTTTAGGAGAGATTCCTGACTTCAGGGTGAAGGCTGAGGAAGAAAAAACCCAACCAAATACATTGCGAAAATATTTTAAAATCAATATAAACCAAAGCAAATACGCTCACTAAGTGATGGCTATGGTAAAATTGCTGGTAATGCTGCAGAGAAAAGGGAGGTGTTTGGTTGAGCACTGTGTTTGAAGAGAAGCCAGCCATTGCCCCAGCATCACAGGCAGATTAAGAAGCACCTTTAGATCCTTTGGGGACAGGGTGTCTGATCATCTGCTGTAGGTAATGGTTTTGAGCTGACTGTCTGACTTCTCTTCATATTTGAATTGGATGAGAGGGATCTGGGCCAAAATCTGCAAGCTGGGACGTGCTGGTGTTTCATCAGTCCTGGATAACTGGGTTTCCCTCCCTGGCAAGAGAGTGCCATCAGGGTCACGCTGCAAAGACCAGAAGATCATTGATGCCAGTCGGTGTGGCCACCTGGCGAGTACGTTGTGTTAAACAAACTCCAAAGTCACGTAATTTGGGAAAGGTGCCTATTTAGGCATCGCATCATAAGGCGTCTGACCAGCACAGGGACATGTTCTCACTCAGCTGCATGCCCTGTGAACTGGAACTGCAGCGGGCAGCACAAGGAGCATCCAGTTAGAATCTCAAGAGAAGACCAGCAGTGCATGATGTGAATGAGGAAAGGGACAAAAATCATCAGGGATCTAGAAAAGGTGGCCAGAAGGAAAGGCTGCAAGATCTGGTGATATTTAGCACAAAGACCAAGGTAAGATACAGAGGGACTGACCCAGTGGCCTTCCAAGATCTGTTCCAGCCCATTTTTTGGGATGCGTGCAGGCAG